TGATATGGCTGGGTGTCGTAAACAGTGGCGTTCGTGCATCTTCTCAATCTCTTTGCAACCGTAGACCACTGAACTCCTCCATTTTCTGTTCGACTCCACTTTTAACTTTCCTTTCCGCTCCTATTCTTCATCCAAATGGGCAGCCAAAAGACAGCAACCAAAACCAGCGCACGATACTGCATGGCTAATGGTTGTAAAGACTGAAACTGAAACAGGGTCCGACGTTTTTTATCGATATTTGCAGTTTCCTTGATTTGCTTTCAGTATTCATTGATTCCTTCGGCGGGCGGTTGAACTGACAGGCGATCCGAGGGCTCTGCTTTGAAGGCTGATTTGCAGCAATCGCTTAGATGGTATCGTGGGTATGCGTTGTCAGTGGATTTTTTGCGGTCTTTCGCCAGACTTAAGGCGAATTTGGCTCGCAGCAAATCGTGGTCCGTATCCTTGTGTTGACCAGTAAGAGCCGCAGTCTTGAATCGACCCCTTCCAGCGGTAACTGATGGCGATTTGATCAATTTGGATCCAGCGCTGTGAAGAGGCTGGTTCTCTCCATGTGAGGCGGTGTCGTTTCTTGTGCGAGAAGTAGGTACTTGACAGGAACAATCCGTGGCTGCTTGGAGAGGATAAGCTGGCTCCATGAATGTCTCTGATGATCGCCGCCCGTGCTTGTTGGTTGGATGCAAGATCCTTGCAAATGTCGATCCAGTTGGTTTTCCATTAGCAGGTGCCGTACACCATTTGAATGCCAAGTTGGTGGAGGTCTTCGAATACAGTGTCCGGCCAGGTTTTCACTTACCCCTCCCCCTTTTTTGTCGGTAGCACCAGCCAGGACAAGGTGACAATACTTGTAAATGTGTCGTTGGGTCTGCGGAAAACATGGTGCAACCATTGTAGTCGGCAGCGTTGAATGTGCGTTAAAAGACGGGCAATATGGCATCGATTTCTGAGGGTTGAGTTTGAGACTCTGTTCAGTCAGTTTACCTTTAGGATGAATCTAAGACACCAGTGATTGGAGACCTTCAACCGTTTGATGTTTTCAGCTCCCAGGGGCCAGGTTTCACAGCAGTATAGCAGGACTGGCCGGACCGCTGCGGCAAACGCCCCGAGGTGGTGTGTGAAAATCGCAATCCATCGGGGGCAGAGTCAAGGAGAAAATAGAGAATTTACATGAACTAAGGTTGCAAGGACAATGGGTAGATGCAGGACACTTCGCCACATCGTTGTCTTTAACCACAGATGGTGATGATCCTTGGTCCCCACCCAGGAAGACTAATGCGGCTTACATGAGTAAGCTTCTTGCTCAGGGTTTTCATACCTTCATGTAAGGTCAAACTTTGACCATCATTTATTTTTTTGTACCCGAAACCTGCCTCGGCAAACAGCACGCACTGTGGCAATGTACGTAATGATAAGCGCAGCAACTAGGGCGTAGTTATGACATGCCTTAACCAACGCAATCTATTGAGGTCGACCACTTGCTCTAGTGGACCACCGCGATCATCTAAAACTTTGCGCCTAACCTCAGCATTGCTCGTCCGGCTACCCCACCAGATTCGTGCAATGCTGCGCAGACAGCGATGTTTAAACACCGGCAATCTACCTTTATCCTGTTATCTTATTGGCCAAGTTTCTGCTCCGTATAGCACAACTGGCCGAATTTCCGCGGCATAAACTCGACCCTTCGCAGACAGCCGGATGTCGCGACGGTGCCACAGATGTCTCAAACACCAATTTAGCCTTTGTATGCGTGCCGACACTGTGATGCGTCCATCGGATGAGATGTAGTTACCCAAATAACACAATTTATTCGTGTTACATTACTTCCCCAGTCAGGGTGAGGTTGGGGCTGGGTCAACCAAATATTGTAACAGCATTGTACGTGTTGAAGGGGTAAAACATAGCGAGCATGGCTACACTGGCACTCAAACTATCCAGAAAAGGTCCCAGCTTGCCTGGAGCTTCCCGTGGCAGCACAATGTCATTTTGGTACTGCCAGTCTGCCACTTGGGAAGTAATGTGATGCCACTATCCTCGCACGAAGATAGGGCTGTTAAAATAATTAAACCTGTGGCAAAGTTAAATTTTTTTAAAAATAACCCTGACGAACACCCCTTTCTGTAGTGAACTAGGGCGAACAAGTGTCTTTAGCTCGGATCCAGTTTCAATCGTTAGCATAAAGATCGCCGAATTGAAATGAACTTCAGAGCGAGGCAACACCAGAGTCTATGAGGTTTAGCTTATCTTTAACCAATTTTACACCCCAAGGCAACCAATTACTGAGCATCATTCACTTCAGGCTTTTCTCATACTTACAAAAACAGTATGGAAGGGCACGCCAAATAAACTGAAATCACTGCGAAGAGTATCACCACATCACTCCGAACGCACGATATGTTCGCTGAGTTTAATGTAAATCGCGATAATAGAAGGAACAAAAAGTAGAAAGCTCGACAAAAAATCTTATTTTGTTTATTGGTGGGCTCTTTCCAATTATTCCTAACGTAGTTTGGGGAATGAAGAATGTTTTATAGCGACAAATAAGCTAGGAGATCACAGAACCTTTGGTATGCATTGATATCAAGAGACCAGGAGTGCGAAGAAATCATTAGCAAGGGATCATGTCCCCCAAAAGGTCGACTTACCTCCGCCTCTCTTCCTTTTCAATTTCCCGATAATTAGCTTCCATAGAGCGTAAATCATCCCAAGGATTAACTTCTTTGTACTTTCGAGGATCAAAGTGCAGGGCCTTGTGGATATCCCGGACGACGCGAGCATATTCTTTCGACTCAACCATGTCACTGTCATCAATAAAACTATCGTCACTCTCGTAGTCATCTTCACTGTAGTCACATTCGGGTTCACTATCATCAACTCGCTTTGGGAGACTCAAACTCACTCCAAGTTGAGCGGCTATTCCTGTAGCACGGCATGTCGCTGGTGGAGATGGACGACTTTGGGGACGATTTGATGGAATTCGGACGCTTTCACGTGAAGGAACTACGGGACCTCGAGGTGGTGTTTTGACTTTCGGCTTCAAATCGGAAGACGCAGGAATATATGAAGTGCACCGAGTGCGACTGTCATTAGAAACTTCAGTTTGCGGTGGGCGTTGTTTCTGTGGATTAATTTGTTCGGACTTCTTAACTGAAACTGTATTTTGAATGGGAGCGGCTGGACGTTTATTTGCCGATCCGTTGGGCAACACAGGGTTTACCGCCCTAGACTGAAGTTGAATTGCAATAGCACTTCGAGGGACCGAATTTCGAGACGAACATTGAGGAGTTGGAATGGGTTGGTGAACTGAACTTACTTTCGTTACCTGCGGTTTTTTATTTGTTTCACAATCAGAACGTTTTCGAAGTTCACTATGCTTTGCGTTTACTTCCTGCATGGAAACTCTGCCCACGGTACCGTTTCTGACGGTCCGTGCGTTTGACTGACTGGATGACGGCTTCGTAGTTCCACTACTAGTCCTGGGTATCTTAATTGAATCCTTTACCTGAGATGTTTTTGAAACTTTTCGAGATTCTGCAGTCGTTGATCCCCTCAGGGATGGTGGGTTACGAGAGTGCCCAGGCTTCAAATTCTCTGCGGACAACGGGCGAGATGGCTTGACGTCGTCGATGTCAACGTTCTTAGAGTCAGCATCTTTTTTCGTATAAAGGGAGCTTATTTTACATGGAATAAGATCATCGAACGCTTGTTTTTTTGTTTCCACCGTCTCGTTTCGCTTAGCGAGCTCTAGCAATTCCGCAAACGATAACGAACTTTTCTTCTGTTTTTGAGGTTTCGAAATATCGCCGGTGGTAGCAGGTAACACTGGGTGTTTTTTATCTTCCAAGTTCTGTACGGATTTCGCCAGCTTTTTCGTGGTAGCCATGCCATTATTGCTACTGGCGTTCTGAACCGATCGTTTAGTTAAGGCATTCGTGGGTCGAATATTATTTCCCTGCGGCGGAAAACTTCCACTGGACTTTGAGGCATTTTTCTCAGATGTGGAATGCGTCTCCTTATCGTCCCTATTGGGAGGCTTGGAAATCAGCGCTGTTGGCTTTTCTGATATGTGGTTTTGTCGTGTCCGTTCAAATTCGTGTAAACGTTCCAGGCGCTTCAGTTTGGCCCAGTGGTCAATTTCCTTGACCTGAATGGCAACAACTGTCAGCGAAATCAAACAGAAACCACCTCTTTGTCTTTCTCACGCTGTCTTTTCTGAGCTATGGCCAATATTTCATGAAACTCCATGACACATCTAGAAGCCCCGCGCGAAGCGAGCGGCCGCCAGCGCTACTCGCACAACAAGGTCAATTCAAATTCAAATTCAAATCACAGGACGTAGAGAGGCCTTCGCCTGCTGAATGTCCTGGTAATGGCGGGTTCCGTTTGTGGACCGGCTCGCCTGCGAGTGTAAAGCTTCTTCCGATTCTCCACGAGGGGGTAATATCTGGAAGGTA